CCTTCCAGCCTTGGTCCGTCCTGTTACCCGAGAGCTGATCCAGGCTCGGGAGGAAAAGGCAGCGCGGGCGCGCCAGAAGCAGATTGAAAAGGAAAACAAGGAGAAGGAAGCCCTCAAGAAACTGGAGAAGGGCAAAGTGAACCACCTGGAGATGTTCCGGACCAACGAGTACAGCGCCTGGGATGAAGAGGGTATCCCTACTCGCGATGCTGCAGGCGAGGAGATTACGAAGAGTCGTGCGAAGAAACTTCGAAAGGACTGGGAGAGACAGAAGAAGCTACATGAGACTTGGCTGGCCAGTCAAATGGGCGCCAAATAGGGGGAGGATGTGTCATAAAACAGTCTTTCGGATGTATCTATGCATTATAATGGCGTTCTTGGTTCGCCGTCTGGCAGACCCTTTCGGTCAATATCTATATCTACACTATCCCTGATGATCGTTATAGCAATCAAGCCAAGTCATTGGAAATATGGATCCTCTAGCTTCGTACCATTGCTGCATGAAGCGGGTTATGCAGGTTGTACACCGCACAAAATCCCCGGATCACATGCTGAGAGCTCAGGTGGTCCACTCAGTCACCAGACAGACCAACACCACGGGGTACAGAGTACTAGTACTACGTACCACCACTATTATTATTTGATCATCTCATCAAAAAGAAAAGTCTCTCTTGAAAGATCGAGATTAGCTGGCTCTGGGTCTACTCCAAAATCCACGTCCGAAACACCATCGGCCCATCTGGAGATACCTCCGAATTAGGGATCTTTGGCCGACACGCCACAGGCCGACACCTTTCGACCTCGGCAACTCGTCCTCCCCACACTTAGAGGTCCGCGGTTACACAGTTCACAATGGTCAGCACAACGGCCGATTCCTCAGCATAGCGAAGCGTTCAACTCATGTTAATAGCTGCTTCTTTCCTGTTTTCTAGAGATTCTTTGAAGACTTTGGCATAGAAGAATCCACTCATTCTCGCATTTTTAGAACTTGATAGTGGTGTTTCATTCTGATAGCTCGTCTCCGCGACAAGATGCCTTTCCACACTGCGTTAACGAGGAAACTGGGCATCGCCGGTGAGTTGCATGGACTTGGAGTTGTTGAAAGGGACTCCGGTTGCTGACGGATTTACAGTCCCTGTGGTACAGGGAGGTATGCAATGGGTTGGATACGCAGAGCTCGCTGCGGCGGTTAGCAACGCAGGTGGTCTGGGAATTGTACGTCTACGAAAGCACTCGAGACAAATCGAGTCTGAAAGTCAATCGCTAACTCTCCCAAGCTCACTGCACTCACGCAACCCACCCCCGAAGACCTTCGCAAGGAGATTCGCCGATGCCGAACCATGACCAAAAAGCCATTCGGCGTGAACCTGACCCTCCTCCCGGCCCTCGTGCCCCCAGACTACGCTGCCTACGCACAAGTAATCATCGACGAGGGCGTCAAGATCGTCGAGACAGCGGGCAATAACCCCGGCCCCGTGATTACGCAGCTGAAGAAGGCCAACACGATCATCCTGCACAAGTGCACGACCATCCGCCACGCCAAGTCCGCTGTGAAGCTGGGCGTAGACTTCCTCTCCATCGACGGTTTCGAGTGCGCCGGCCACGTCGGCGAGCATGACATCACAAACTTCATTCTCCTCAGCCGGGCGCGCCAGGAACTCAACGTGCCGTTCATCGCCTCGGGCGGATTCGCGGACGGACAGGGTCTTGCAGCGGCGCTGGCACTCGGCGCGGAAGGTATCAACATGGGTACGCGGTTCATGTGCACTGTTGAGGCGCCCATCCATCAGAAGGTCAAGGAGGCCATTGTGGCGTCGGACGAGAACAACACCAACCTGGTTTTGAGACGGTGGAAGAACACCTCCCGTCTGTTCAAGAACAAGGTGTCGGAGGAGGCGCTGAAGATTGAGAGGGAGAGCAAGACGGGCGAGTTTGCCGAGATTGCGCCCTTCGTTAGCGGCAAGAGAGGCCGCGAGGTGTTCCTGAACGGCGACATTGACTACGGTGTAAGTTCTTACCCGCTTCCCGTTGACATCCCTTGTTTACGCCGCGGTTTCCATAAACTAACATGGTTTAATTCGCAGGTATGGACCGCCGGTCAAGTCATTGGTCTGATTCACGACATCCCGACGTGCGCGGACCTCCTGCAACGGATTGAGAGAGAGGCCGTCCAGGCCATTGATCGGTCTAAGTCGTTGTACACGGCAACCGCAGGCCAAAGCAAGCTGTGAGGTTAGACTATTGCGATGTTTCGTACGTCAGCAATCCAGATTGAGATTGTTGAATCATGGATGTTTGTCATTGGTACCTGGAATGCAGATCTCCAATATAAGCGAGATGAACTTTGGATCGCGTCTTTCCTTGTTGATCCTGTCTAGCTAAACCTCTTCCTGCGGAATGTAAGGACGCTTGGCTATTTTTCTGGATCTTTAGATGTATTTGAGAAAGCACGGAGTTTATCCCTTGCCTCCCTTCCATAGCGGAGCGGACAATTACCGGCATTTATCTCAGATTCGAGCGTGACATTCTCGGAACGTGTAAACAAAGGGCATGAGGTCTATCTGGAGTGTACATATGACTTGTGGACAGAGAATGATGTAGCAAGTGCCGTGTTTCAAGGTGTTGGGTCAAATGGAGTAGAAGGGGTTCAGTCTGATCTCCATAGCCATATCCGTAGTATCATAGCCCTAACTAATCATGCGTCTATTAGAGCTCAGCAATCACATAAAATTAAGATCAACCATACAGTAATATGACCATTGCCTTCCACTGAGCCGAACTCACTTACAGTCACGTAATTTTAAACATGTTTCTAATCCTTACGTAGTACTACTCTATGCGGCGAGCATAGAACTCCAATTGTTCGAGTAATCAGCTATCAAATTGATGGAACCACGGATCAGCTGAGATACTGTCTCAAGTGTCAAGCAGAAGGTTAATTTGTTTGTTGACATAGTAATCACCAGTGTGAGACGACGAGATGCATCTATATATGTCGGTGGACGTAGCTGTACTAAACTGGATCTGAGCGTTAGTTCCAAGTCTCGGAGTTTACTTTCAAAGAGTGTACTGGGAATCCATGAACTAGCACCCATCGCAAGCATGGACTTAATATCGTCAATCTTCCCCTGTATCCAGCGACGCAAACCGCTGAAATTCCCCGCTCAAGAGCAAAATGACGCGCAGCCAGAGAGCGAAGCGTCTCAAGCCTCTTCAGCAGCTTCAAGAACCGTTCCCTGCAAGTCCTCGGCGAGGATGTCGGTTCGGATCGTTGAAGCAGTCGATTCGCAGACGACCATTTGCCCTGAAGAGCCCGTTAATGACCATGACGGGCTCCAGGAGAACGAGAACGAGAAACAGAGACCTCATGTCTCATCCGTCGAGCATAAAGACGCAGACCCAGACACAGACTCTGCCAAAGACTCCAACGTCAGAATCATCCACATGGATCTCAGCGATACACCGACAGCAACGCAAGACTGTCACAATCAAAATCAAAAAGAACCACTGATTCCCGCCCTCCCCCCGAAAGCTGCAAAGCTCCCCGAGGTCAAAAGCCGCATGATAGAGAACATCCCCGAAGAAAGCGACGACGACGACGAGGGCAACACACCATCATTCGAAGACGACGCTACGGAGAAATCGTCTCAAGACGCCAAACGCAACTCAACCTGGCGCCAGAGCTCCAGAAAATCTCTGGTCGACATCATCAACCTCCTGCAGTCAACCACAAGCAACAACATCAGCACCCTCCGAATCAACAGCCTAAAGTGGCCCTTACCACCCAAATCACCCCACCGGCCACGGCCCGCAACAGCTTTATCCTGCCGGTCTTCGACTTCGTTCAGCTCCTCGGTAACAGCCACCGTAGAGTTCGAGAAGCCGGCCCCCATCGTCAAGAAAGAGAGACGGATGGGAGCAGCGATGCTTCCCAGCATCCGACTGGGACCCAGGAGATGGAGCGTCGATGACGGTGGCATTGGCAATGACAGCAGCATGAATCCCAAAGGGCCTCGGCCTCTTTTTTGCGAGTAACGGCGTTTGGAGCCTTGTTTTGTTCTTTCGGGCTGTTTTTGCGGTCGTCGGCCTGGTTTGGGGGTCTGTTATCTTGTCTGTGGATATTTGATTCTTGTTCTTCTTGTTCCTTTTGTTTCCTGTTTCCGTGTCTTTTCTTTTCTGGGTGATTGATATACATACTTTCGATAACTTAATCCTGTATACTTGCTGGCAAAGAAGGAGGTTTTATTCAATGCGATAATCTTGATGTCAATCAGAGCATTTTGCTATTCGTTCCAGTGTTAGGTGCAACGTCCATCGAAGTAATTCGCAATGTGATGGACAGGATATGTTGAACATGCTGTTGAACTACCATTTCTGCTAGCTAGGAATGAATATCTGTCTTCACACCCTTTTGAATCAGTGGTTTCAAGTGCATTCGGCAATATTTGGATAAACTATACCAGTAGGCACAAGGAGCTTCGAAATAGCCACAGAGTGGATACCGATGAAACGCGCGACTACAAGTCTCCAGTGATCAAGTGAATCACATGGAGTGATCAAGTGGATTCCAAATACAACGCGTCGTATATAGGACAGAAGATCGCGTGGAATGGCTGGTAAAGGCTATGGCGCGCTTGCAGTGTGAGAGGAATGCTGGAGATGCACGCGTACATAGGAGATGACCATGGCACAAACTACAATGCTTGCCATAAGGAAACAAATTTGTCAGGAAAGAAAGTTAGAGGCAATTCTATGCATTAAATTATGTATGACAAAGCCAGCATCGATAAATGCTGGTTGCCCACAGGCAGAAAGTATTGAGGAAAACAGTGCAATCTTCTTTCTCCGAGTGCCACAGCACAATTAATGATACACAATTCAGCAACAGGTACCCTATCTATCAAACAGAAGATTCCCGGGACCCTGCTCCCTACCGCGAGCCGCCATACCGAATCTCCAAACGCTGGCTGACAGCGCCAACAGCAGAAGCGACGAGTAGCTTACAGGATAGAACCGAGGGCAATGCAAGGAAGACCCAGGCCAATGAGGGAACCGCTCTGGTGGACGTTAGTAGAGAACTAGACATTTGTAGAAGAAGACTTACGGCATCGGAAGGAGAGTTCTGGCAGCAGGCAATGTTCTGCTTGCACTTCTGGTTGACCAGATCCTGGACGGCAATAGCAATGATGGGGACTGGAATATGTCAGTATGGACGACCAGTCTTTAAAGAAACTTGACGTACTCTGGAGGTCCAGCTTGGAGCACTGGTTGAAGAGACCGAGACCCTCGGAGCCAGATCCACCACCGATCAGGTTCTTGAGGGTACCAGCGAGGATACCCTCGTCGATGTCGGTGACATCACCGGCGTAGGTGGCCTTGTTGCAGCAAGAGAGCTGAGCCTGGTCACCACACTTCTCGGTAGCCTGCTTCACGGTTATGTCGTCAGGAACGGGGAAGCGGACGTTGGCGTTGCCCTTGTTGCCAACACCATTGCCAGCAGCGTTAACATCGTGCTGGGGAAGGGCGGCCACGGAGACGGCGAAAGCGAGGACAGCAGCGCTCAAAGAGAACTTCATTGTGACGGTGGGGTTTGAAAAGGGAGTGAAGACTCGGAGTGAATTTGGGTTTGAAAAAATGTGAGAAGATTGTACTTCGAAGGAAAAGCTTGTCAACGAGAGTGATGGTTGATGGAGAGGAAAGAGAATGCCCACAGGTGAAGTGAAGACATCCTTATATAGACTCAGGTGGAGGCAGCGAGCTCTCTGTTGATGCTAGTTCTATCCGCCCTTGATTGAGCTCTCTGTCATGGTAGCTATCCAGCTTGAGTCCCTGAGTGGAATGTGGTATGCAAGGAATCCATCGTGATTTGTCCCTCAAGAGTCAGAACCGCGTTATCGCAATCTCGCAGCCCTGGATTGGAGCTCTCTGCCCCAGCGGTTGGTATGGATCTGCAAAACATTCGATTGATCTGAACCAACAAGTCAGCTTCCAGCATACCAGGCTCTCGTGAGCCACGCCTCGTTCAGGGGACCGGCCGTGCATCGACTGAGACCGCATAGTCCGCGTCTTCTGTCTCATTCCCTTGGTTCTACTACGTCGATCACACATGCAAGCGGTAAACTCACCTGTGCCCGCTTGGTCATTGGGTTGCATTACCTGCCGCGGAGCTATCGCAGGCTTACCGCATTCAAAGCAACTTTCTTCTTGAGTCTCCATATCACACGATTATGGCCAATTCCTACGCTTCAGCCATTCCATCAGTGGCGCATCCCGTATGACTCCACTCTCACTTGATACAGAGTGAGCACCTGCTGGCATAGCACGGGAAGGGCTAAGCCTTAAGCGACTAGGAATCGGAGTATTCAAGGGCCTCTCGTTCGGTATGCAGGTGCCAATGGTTTCAACGTGCGTGCTGCTGATTTAATCCAAGGTTGCAGAAGCTTGCAGGGTCTGCAAAGTCTTGTTGTTGATCTGCAAGGGACTTTCCATCTCGTTCAACTGGTCGATAGTGTATAGTCATCGCAAGGGTTACGACGTAGCTGACCCTGTCCCATGGCTCCAGCAGTCCAGTCTCATTCTATCTCGTCATAAACAATATTAAATTTTCCGAGTGTGCTCGACCCGGTTTCTCTTGTGTTTCCTTTGGTGGGAGCTTTAGCCAGGCTTGTGTGGGTAAGGGAAAGCTGGGTTCCTCCTTTGCTTTGTTCCTAGCAACAAGCGAGGCAAGGGGCTGTCCATCGGAACTATTGAGCACGTAGATGCGTGCTTTTTCCAGATGGCTCTGCTAGTAGGCAATCCTGTCTTCCCGAATGTAACTCGCTCCGTTCGCAGACTCGTCGCTGAGTCGTGATGAAATCGACTTTGGTCCTCTTTCCGCTTTCACTCTAGCTCACATGTTGCTGTCGGGGAAACACTCCCTGCGCTCCACATTACTCGATTGAGGATCTTTCAAAATAAATAATAAGGAGCCTCCTCGTGCTGGATGGATGTGAGCTGGTCGCATGGCCTGATCATGAGTTGTAGTCATGTAGAGCAGGCATCTCGACGGTGTAGCCGTAAGCCGTACTCCAGTTTCCAGTCGTCGAAGAGGTCTACAGAACAGTGCTCTCTCCGATTATGATTATCTCGAGCGAAGACTATGTTTGGTCATTGTCGTACCGTTTCGCCTCTGCTGCTTTTCTCTATACAATGTCTCGTTCCGGTGTGCCAGTTGCAGTATACACAGTACTTCGATATGGAGTAGATGGGTCCTTCGCACATGCAGTTATTCGTTCAAGACCATGCTCCTGGGCATTCGATAGTGACCAGGTTTAGTGACTCCATTGTTATTCTTGATGCTACCTTCTGCCGAAATGAATGGTGGGTGTTGGGACAGTGTCTGTGTAGGTTAAGATATATATTTCTACGTGCCACATCTAGACCACCTCCACCAACGAAACATCCCACCACACGTACAAACTTTCAGTTATCCTCCTGTTATTCAGCACTATAAATACAAATGTAGATGCTACAACAAATGCAACGGTACTATATGAGCTACGATATGTGGTTCCTTAATGATATTGTGCGCCTTGTTGGTCTATACAGGGCCGAGAAGTGAAAAGCCGTGCAGTATATTAAAGTCTGTCTTAAAGGCTACTCAATCTATTACTACTTAGTCCTCTACTAGATCCGTCCAAAAATATACTACAAGTCATTGTTTCATAAATCTCACCACAGAATGTTATTATGGCAGAAAAATCTTTCATTTTGACTATAGGATCAACTCGCTCCCTTCCACTATCACCTCGTCATAGCCCAGCGCAAACAACCACTCGGCATCACTAAGGTCTCATCCACCTCAGGATTTATTATCTATGTAATAAACTCTTAGTATGATGCACTGACCTATCCAAGTATCTACAGTCGTGGCTATCTAAGCGGCCACATTCCTGCCTCCTACTCTAATCTCGTTGATTATCCCTTGACCGAGGCAGGACCGAATGATACCGAGAACGGGGCTTAATCTAAATGTCTGACTCAAATCTAGACATTGCTAATGTGATTTACCCTCAATGGAATGCTGAGGTTGCGTTTCAAATTGCTGACTGCCCAGCTGTGATGACACAAACAAACATAACGAGTCATCTGCGATCTCCCTGGTTGTTGCCGTCACTGTCCAGCCCATTATCGCGACCATAGGCCGTCAGCACGGAAATGGTTCTATCCCTCAACTATCGAGGTTGCTAAAGATCAGCTTAGATCAAGCCCTCGACACCAACCTAGACATGCCGAAGCTATTCTTCCATTGCTGGGCCATGCGCACGTTCTGACTACCGGTTCTTGCTCGAGACTATTCCACCAAGCAATCAAGCCTTTCTGGAGCTTTCCAGCGGTCTGATAAAAAGTTCTCGCATGCATCTTTGACGCGTTGGTCTTGATTCAGGTTAGCAGACTTCCAACGCGAGTTCGAAGTAGCCTCTATTCTCTATTCCCGCGGCGAGCACATCAGCGGAAAGACTAATTATAGTACCTTAGACGACAAGGGACAGTGAAAGGAGAATAGCATTCGTATATGCATTTCGACCGGTGAGAGAGTTGACCATTGATTCCAACATAAGTGTACCTACTAGATATCCTGCCTTGATGCCTTGATGCCTCAGTGCTCGTAGAAGAAGATAGATGCACTAGTCCCTATATGGCTAGCGAACGATGATGATTGTCGGAGTTGATCGTCCGCAGCGGAATCTCTGTAATGCGCAAGTAATTCTGCTACGCCTCTCCGCATCTCTGTTGACAAGCATCTGGACGTACTCTTCAGCTCTATAAGCAGTACTGACTCCAAAATGTCCGCGAACCCTCCGTCTAGTCCTCTTGACCGTTCCCCCAGCACAGAGACAGGCGCCACGGACAGCTTATCCGAGCTGCCCGTGGACAACCAGGAAGAATCGAAGACTCGCGAACGGGATACACATGAGGAAGAACAATCAACACAGAACAAGGACGATGGAAATGACACATCACCAAGCAAGACACAAGATGCCGAAGAAAACACAACACGCCCCCATGATGATAAAGAGAATGCCAAAGAGGAGGACGCTTCTGCGCCACCATTACCAGACGAGCCACTCCCACCACCGCTGCCCAACGAGGCCCCTCCCGATGAGGATGATGGCTGGGAGCCCGTCTGGGATGCAACCGCTCAAGCGTACTACTTCTACAACCGCTTCACGGGCGTTTCACAATGGGAGAACCCACGGGTGCCGGATGCACCAGCATTAGCACCGGTGCCTCTCAGCGACGCTGCGGAAGGTGTAAAGGAGAAATCCCCCGTCGTAGGCGGTTACAACCCGGCGATCCATGGTGATTACGATCCCACGGCGCCCTACGCGCAGCAGTATGAGGAGCCCACTCTCGGAGGTGCTGCGGCGGATCCCAGTGGCTCCTACGAGGCTGTTGGTACATTCAACAGGTTCACCGGCCGGTGGCAGCCTGCAACCCTGACTCCGGAGAACTACAACGATGAGAGTAAATCGCGACGGCAGATGAATGCGTTCTTTGATGTGGATGCGGCTGCCAATGCCCATGACGGGCGGAGTCTCCGGGCGGAGCGCAGTGCTAGGAAACTCACCAAGAAGGAATTGAAGATGTTCAAGGAGAAGAGAAGAGAGAAGAAAGAGGAGAAGCGGAGGGCATGGCTACGCGATTGATGCGAGGAATGGTATTGTTGCTTTCGTACTACTGTTGCTAGACTTTTGAGATACCTTGAGATACCTTTTGATTCTGTGCATGGGTTGGAGGCGTTTTGACAGATGTACTATATGGGATTGCATAGCATAGAAGCAGCGCTTTTTCCTCTTCTACAATGGTCTTCATTTTCTCATGCCCAGAAAATTCGTACTCTTGCACCGTAGTCACCATAAGGTAGAGCCATCCAAGATTCCCCACAATTGGTCACGTGCCAATATATTGAAGTTTCTTTTTGCAACAATCAACGAGTATACAGACGGGATATTGAGCAAACGCGAGGTATATAACCCTTTGAGATAAAAGTCTTTTGATCCTAAGGTTAGTAATTTACATTATGTCTGTTTGTGGTAGCCGTTCTGGGACATGAACTTTGCGATGCGCCTTATCGATATATATCAAGCATGATGGAGGGGCACGACTGTGCTACAGATTGGACCTGTTGATGGAGAAACATGATGTCTATCAATCGATATCTCATGTTGCCTATCTCTAACCCTCAAATTTGATTTTAAAGCTCCTTTTGTTTGTGCTTGCGTGGTTGAAAAAATTCTCATCCGGCTGCCATCGGTAGAATCGCTTCAGATGCGACAGGAGGAAATTTTTTATTACAATGACTAACCAAGTCATAGATACCAAATCACTGCATTGGGCTGCATCTGAAGTCCGATAGAGCATAGCAACATCAGAAGCATTTAGTTCTTAGGAGTTTCAGTTACTCCAAACCAAGGAAGCACAGTGCAAAATGTCGACATCCACACCAGTCAAGCTTTCCTTCGAGGCAATCGACGACCTCATCTACGACGCTCGCGCAGGCGACCTGGAAGCCCTCAAGGCCGACCTCGCCACCCAAAGCAAAGAGCACAACTGCCCCGAGGCCTGGATCATCGCCTCCGCCATTGACGCCGAGCCCGAGGCCGAGGGTGGCACGGGGTCCTGTCTGCTTCATTTCCCCGCTGCGAATGGCAATGCCGGTACGTTGACGCTTGACTCAACTCGACTTGACACGACTACTGGGTTGTATGAATGGCCCGGCTAACAGATGCATGCAGAAATCCTCAACTATCTCCTGGCAAGTCTAACCGCGCAATCTACGGCGCCGCTCTCGGCGGAGCAGATCGCGGCTGTGGTTAACCATCGGAATCACTCGGGGAATACGCCTCTGCACTGGGCTGCGCTGAACACGCATCTGGATTGTGTGAAGGCGCTTGTGGAGGCGGGTGCGGATATCGGTGTTAAGAATGATGCGGGGCTGGATGCGATTTTCCTGGCGGAGAGGACGGCTTGGTCGACTGAGGAGGAGGGTAAGGAGGTGCCTGCCGAGGAGGAAGGTGCCGGGGAGATGTCCAAGGGTCGGCAGGTTGTGGAGTGGTTGTTGAGCTCGGATAAGGCTGGTGACTTGGAGGGAGGGCTCAGTGTTAGCGCTGGTGTTGGTGATGAGGGGTCGGCGTCAGGGTCAGGGTCTGGGGAGACGATGGATGTGGATGAGAAGAAATGATCACGACTATCCTGCCCCGTTTGTTGCTTCCAGAGTAAATATTTCTTTTGTTACGAATACCACTAGACAAAAGTTCTGAGTTGACACCCTTGACGATGATAGGTTTATTTCCCTGTATCTAGATCTAGTTCGTATGTTCAGCGTCGCTGGTCTATCTATACTGATATGTAAAACATGATATGTACTGTTAGTCGCGTCGAGCCTTGCCTTGCCCACTGGAGGATAAGCGCGAGGCTGGACTGGAGTAGGAACCTTCCATCTGGACGCCCTTCCCATCCCTGATTTCCCGAACCTTCATATCAAGTCTAACCCGGAATCGTCGGTCACGCCATTGAACAGTGACTCCCCCGTAGAAGGCCCAAATCCAGATGGGCAGAGCGAGCACCTCTCGGCCCAGCCATGCCGCAAACCAGTGGGAAAACGCCCGCCTCGTCCTTCGGCGTGCGGGAGGCTGTGCAAAGCAGGGCGTGTCGTCGTTCAGCTCGACGGCCTTCGCGGAATGTAACTTGATGTACAATGTCCAGTCGACCAATATCCAGGCAGCGATGCTCAGAAAGAAGACTGTGAAGAACGCAGTCCATGAGGTTAGGTGGCCTGCGAACCCCAATCCTTTGCGCTGCAGGTATTGAGCAAGAGATGTGGTAACACCCCATGCTCCGTACAGAGAACATAGGATTGATTCCGTGCCTGGCTCAACCAGAGTCGCAAGAAGGACGGTGAACTTGCGTACGCGCAGCCACCGAACTCGCCGTGCCATATAGCCCCGGACACTCATGCTCGCCACAGGCTGGATGGCAAGGTCGCCAAAGACCATGCCGTGTTTGCCCCAGCTTTCGCCCAATTCCTTCTCTTCACGTACCTGCTTTTTCCAAAGCAGATCACCAATCAGGTGATCCTCGCAGATATTGTCAGAGAAATAATCAATACCGGGACGGCGTGGCTGCGGTTCCGTCGGGGATGGTTGCGTCAAATAGTCCAAATGAGACCGGCGAAACATGTTGGATTTCCCAACAATGCACGGCGCAATGAGAACGGTGTTAATGGCAGTATACATCTTCGCATGCGAGGACGCCAGAAACAACTCCTCTAATCGACCGCCCCCAGTCGCAAACCAGCCAACTTCTCGGTGCTGTTGCTCAATCATGGCAAAAGCGTCGCGCCTCTCGGAAGCAGAATCGCCTTGGGCACACGCTTGAAGAAGGGCCTGCCGCTCCTCCCTCAACCCACTAGTCCCTGTCACATCCACCGCAATGGGCAAGTGGTGTACGAACTTGTACTTCCTGCCCGGGGTGTCCCCAAGCCCGCATAGCCTGTCCACCATCCGCCCACAAACCCCTCGTCCCACCCACACGTTGCAGTCCAGGATCCATACAATATCCCCCTTGGCCTCTCGGTAGGCACGGCTCATGTTGCGAATCTTCGGATTCGGTCCCAGATTGTAGTTGGCTGCATTGTTAGGCTGGAGTAACGGATCCTCTTCTTCGATGTAGATGTGCGCGTCGGCGTGCGAAAAATCTGACAGAAGTTTCTGCAGCGTTGGATAAGCGGGATCTGCTCGAGACGAAACGCAGAAGTAGACGGTCAGTTTGTCATGGGGATAGTCTTGATAGAAAGTCGCAGCCAGGCAGTCGTAGAGATACGGCTCAAGGCCTTTGACGGGCCGAATCACGGTGACGTGAGGGGCGTCGGAGGACGAGGCTGCATGGGATTTCCGAGGTCTGCGCGAGAAGTGCATCCATCTGTCCACGTACCACACATTAGTCTAGGTCGCAGGAGGCAATTGAGAAACAAATACATTTGAAAGTATCCCAGCAGACAGACGGCGAACACGGTCGTATACCAGATCAAACACACCCAACCCACTGCAGTCGACCACGCGAGTTCGCCATGTCCGACGGCCGATCCGACATTCAAGCGGCTCAAATGCGATTGAAGGTCTAGCATGGGCAAAGACGACGACAAAGAAACAACCGAGAGGGGACACAGACGTTCAAAGAGGACATTCTACTGGAGACGGGCGGTGGAGAAATTCGACAAGTGAAAGTAATCGCCGGAAGCACTAGGATGCCATCGATCGTGCTCATCGTCTGATTGACAACAGTACCGCCAAGCTATAGAATTATATTGTCATGGCCCCATGAGAGATACATGCTTGCATAGTCGTGTCACTAATTTGGACTAATTGAGTTGGTATTCCACTTGGATGCAACAGTTCATCTTGTGGACCATGACTGGACAGCGGAGAAGACAAACGCGCCAGCTCACAGCCCCAATTCAGGCAGCGAAATAATCACATTGTCTTAGAACAGACACAAGCAACTATCATCTAGTTGCGTATTCACATACACTAGCTCAATGATTACTTCACAGGTCTATTAGAAAAGAATAGGCGGGTTGTTTCCATTAATTTTACCTTTAATCGTTTGCAATTGAACTGTAGACTCAAAATCGATACAGATGGAGATTTAACACCTTTAGAAATAAGCAAGTCCTGCCAAGTATGAATCCATATGCTGCTCTAATGACACCAAAGCAACCAATACCCTCCTGAACCATGTAGCTGTCACCCCAGCTCGAAAAAAAAAAAAGATACACCGAACTCCGAGATCGCCATTCCATGCAGAGCGCAGTGATGCGAACCTATGTCTTCTTCTTCTTTCGAACCAGGTTGGCATTGAGCACATTCACGCTGGGTGCCTGATTCGACTGGACGGGAGTTAGGTTGACTTCTTCAGAGTCCCCTGGCGCACCTCGTACCTCGCCTGGCTTGTCGCTCTCTTCATCAGCCGTTTTGCGCTTCCGAACAAAGGCTGTGTTAATGACAGTTGTAGCGTCCATATGTTTCTGACCAGGCTCCGTCGCAGCATTTCTCCCCTCGACCCGTTGACCAACCCAAAGTTGATCAGCGAGCGAGGCGACTTTCTCGGCCCATGCCTTGGTGCTGGTGATAGCTTTATGCTTGGTGTCAAAATCTTGATCGATGAGAAAGTTGATTGCCGCCTTATAGTCTTCCTCACTCAAGACTGCGTGTCCTCGGCCTGTGTCTGGCCAAAAGAACGCACTGGGTCCCGTAGCTTGCTGTACGGTGGCATGGGTGTCGGAAGACGAGACACTGGGTTGGGTGATTGATGATGTCTGGAGACCACTTGTGGGAGGGTGCGATGGAGCAGACACAGACGCTACTTCATCCTTTTGTTTGGTCGCATCGTGGGTTGTCTTTGCAGATTCAGAAACAACATTCTCGACATCCCGCGAAGCAACACGAGAGCTCGTCATCTGAACTGAATTGACAAGACCTGGCGGATTAATGACAAGCCACAAGAACCCAACTAATCGGCCGGCCGAACATTCCTGTCGAAAGGACATCATCTCCCAAAACTGCGCAAGAGACTTCACGCTTCGCCAATGACCAGAATTCTCCTTGGAGCCTGCAGCTCCCGTCGACTCTGGCAATTCATCGTCCAAGTCGATCAGAAAGCGTGTCTTCGGGTCATCTGGGAAGCGAGGAACGAGACACCGTGGCGGAGCGTTGGGATTATCACAGAGCTGATGGAGAGGGTAGCTATTTAACCATCTCGGCCGATCCTTGTCATCAGACCTCGCTGTGATTGGGAAGAAGCCCCGAGTCTCGAACTTGTCGCATCCAGGAACGATCAGGAAGGCTGTTGCTGAACTCTTCGCCGACTCCTTAGTTTGATCATGCAGTGCCTTTTCATGAGAACCTGTCTCAGGCTCATATTCTCGTAGAATGGGGTCGATGACACGACACCACCATTTGATCAACCCACGATCATCCAAGACATGCTTTTCAGGGTTCTCGATGCTCCCGGGAAACAAGTACTGATTCTGGGCTCGGGCAAACAGGGACACCATCAACCGAACCCCTGGCCGTTGACGGGTCTGCACAAGAAATGATAGAAACGCATTTGAAATAAGTCTGAGAAGTGAGACTTTGGGCGCATTCTTGAGCAGATGCAGGTAGCCAGTTGAATCGGCCTTGGAGACGAAAATGGTTGTCAGATGCGCGGTGCCGTAGACCAGCACTTCGATCCCAAAGACGATCACTTCCGGCTCCTCGTTTTCATCGGGACTAATGGAGACTGCGAGGAAATGATTCTCGCAGAATGTCGACTCGGGTTCTTCGCCTGGTGGAGCTGCGAAGAGAGCCGCACACGGGCTTGGGGCCGATGAGATATGGCGGATCGTCACCTTTACCCCCGTGGGGAGCACCTTGGCCAAGGAATCTCCAAGGTCGACATCAACTTTCGACATTTGAGCCGTCAGAAGCTCTTATTAGGTTGAAGTATTTTAAGAGAAGAGATAGCCGTGTGCGCTCAATCCCAGCGTCAGACGCGTTCCAACACACGGGCGCGTCACGTGTCATTTCTCGTGGACCTCTGGCTGGTAAAGGGAGAATGAATTCTACAAACGAGAGGGTGTTTCTTAATCATATTGATAAAGTGTTTATTATTACCGTATATGATCAAATCCAATTAGTGAGCCTTCCAAAGGCGCACTCTATCCATGGCATAACAATGATTGGTGAGCAAAATGGAATCACGCCAAATGCAGGCAAACATGCTGGAGTTATTGACACTTGACAGTAAAGCTCATCATAATGTTCAGAAATAATTGGCCGCAGCCTCGAGGTCATCGGCATTCAGGAGCGCAACACCCTCCTTCAGCAGAGTTCTCCAGACCGAATTACGGGTCCTGATGGGATAGCTGGGCGTCTCCCAATATCTGGCTCCAATGCCCCTTTCCTTTGCGGTCGCGATTTGCGAGCGGAGAGTGCTGAGCTGCTTCTCTGTCAATATCGCTTCAGAATCACCCTCCGAAACTGTGCCGATGACATGCGCAAAGCTTGTAGACGCGATGGGAGAGATCAGGCCTGTGATGCCGGCATTCTCAGGCTCGTTCAAGGACTCGAGGTGAGCATCAAAAAAGTAGTCTCTGTTTGCGACAGGCGCAACCATATCATAGGGCGTGTTGCCCGTGCCGATCACGGTAATGGGCCCATTGGTGATGGTCTTGTTATTCTTCAGAGTCGTCAAATAACCATGTTCACGCAGTGGTTCCAAGGCATCAATCACAGCCTTGAAGGTCTCATGTCCGTCGGTCTTTGCATCAATGAACAGGTAAAGCGTTTGGGAAACCGAAGTGTCGAAGACGCCACTGATCAAATATCAGTTCTCTGTAAGCCAGACACAATGAAGCTAACTTACTTGTGGGTGGAGGACGTCACAAAGCGCGATCGAGGATTCTGGCGCTTGAGAACATCGAGGATTGGATTAATGTACAATGATTCCAGGGTTCTCTCTTCTGTTAGAGAAGACGTGTCATGACCGACCTGTTCGATGTTAGAAGAAGACATCCATCGCTTGATAACTTTGTACTCACATAGAGAGTGCCGTTGTACAGCCAGACATCTGCTTCCGTTGAGATGCATCCTTGTGAGAGAGCTTGAAAGGGGTCAGGCAAGCGCCATGCATACAATGTGAGGTGATCAAAATGCTGCCTTACCAGTGTAGAAAGGTACGTCTCTCCAGTAGTCACTGCCCAGAGAATTAGAGCCATTCTTAAAGATTGATAAAATCCCGTCTCGACTTACTTGTGAGAATGAACTGGAATCTTATATCAAAGCAAATCGTACCCGATTAGCTCAATTTATCCAACAAGTGCATGGACACAGTGACTGAGAACTCACAGGTACAATGCCCCTGGTAAAATCTGTAGGATATCCGTACTCTTGACTTCTATGGGTATTATCGAGGACGTTCTGAAGGCCTGTCGGTAGCCCGAACGCGATATCCGGCAATGAGAAGATGACGGCGGATGCCGTGACAAGCAGCGAGCGTGCTAGTACAGTCATTTTTCTTTGCAAGCACCAGGAAAGTATAGTTTCTCAGATGAAAGTTCTAAGACAGGAACAATCTCTACGAGACTAGAACGCGATTATATTTCAGAATGAGATGTGATGATCGAGAAGATCCCCCCAATGCCAAGTGTCGATGCCGAGCGAGACAGGGCTTAGAGCCAATCCCTGCCTCACGTGGAGTACAATCTCACCATATCCATGTTCATCAGCCAACACAGGTACGATGCGGAAGCACAAGGGGTTTATCCCGAATAAAATGTCAGACAAAATCCCCTCCCTGGACTTGAGTTCTCCTTCACGCCATACCAATTGATTGGGTAACCGTCGTAGAACAGATATGGATTAACCATGGTTGATAACTATACAGCAGCCTGTATGACTGACAATCTACAAGTCCTGAGCGCCAGATGATTCGAATGTGGAGCTTGAAAGCCTATGCATCTGAAAATAACATCACATATCCCAAGCACCGCCAGATGCTTGGGAGAAGAAAATAACAAAGGGACCAAATGCTCTATACTTCTCGGACAGATGGTGGTCTTGAGCCACTCTGGGAGTCCTGTGTACTACTGCGCCTGAGACTCAAATTCCCGATGCGCTGCACCAAGTTGCTTCCAACCGCGTCGACTGCGCCTTTCGGAGCGAGCAAACTTGGGCCTTGCGCGGCCGCCTCCTGTACCCTGAACAGTTTGATTCCAGTTCCGTTCCACACGCCAACAGTGCCGGGTGTAGCTCCAGATGCGGTGCCAACTACCATCTCACTGGAGAAGATGAAACCCCAAAGCAAAGACTCATACCATCCCAAGGACAGTGCTGACCATTCGAAAGAATGCACCCGTACAGGTGGAGGTTCTGATAACAGCCCTTGAATTGTGGGCTCTTCTGCAAAGGAGGGAAGATTCGCAATCAAAGTGCGAGCTTCCGGGTTTGACGTGGTCTGGAAAGCCGAATCGGGAATGTGAGGAGCAATGGCCGAAATGATAGTGAGAATAGTGTGAAGAGGAAGCTCTGGTAGCCATGACTCCAACTAAACGCGTGATTGTTAGGACGATTAGACAAAAAATAAAGGCACACCATCGAGTAGATACTTACCCAAGCAACAGTCGGCGTAAAACCACTGGAAGTGGAGAACATGGCGGACATACTACTTTGACTGGTGATGCTATTCTGCCGGGAGAACGATGGCTGCCCAGCAGGCATCTTACCTCTGGCCTTCTCAGACATTCCCCGCAATTGCAGAGGGACACTTTCATCGATAGCTGATGATGTCGACGGCCTTCTTGAGTTCTGCGCGGAGGGAGATGACTGCGACGGCGTGTCTTGCTCGTCATGTTGGTCATCCGATTCGTCACCGCCAATAGCGAAAGGGCTATTCTCTTCAGGAATACGAGTCAAGGGCGAACGTGCACCCGAAGACACATGAGGATCCTCTTCAGCCTGCGACAGCGTAGGGCTAGAGGACGAGTCGCGAAATGCAGCTTTAGCTTTTCTCCTTTCATTTTGGCGTTCAATCTCTTGCTGTCCACTTTCGAGAGTGAAGGCTCGGACAGCTTCGAAACGTTTCCTGTATTTTAGAATGGCATATACTAGGAACGGGTTTTCTGCGAGAGTCAGTCAGCGAGCCAAGCCGCTACGAAAGTGAAGGCATAGCGACACTTACTGGTGAATTGGTGTTCAAGTATCGAGTTTATGGATTCAAGCACTGAGGCTAGGAGGGCATGGTTCGTTTCGTTAGCTAGGAGGAAACTGGGAGCGGACATCGAGGAGAAGAGCTGCAGAAGTCTGGAGCATGTGGCGGGCGAAAGATGTTCCAAGTAAGGAGCCACGTTGTTGATGATCGCTAAAAGTGCTGGATAGACAGCGTTCAGCTTGCCTTTACTTGCGGTAAGCAGGGTATGGATGGACTAAGACACGTTTAGTACGGTCTCGCATGATGAATTCGGCGAAAGACAAACCATCACCAGAAAATCACCATAGGTACCCCTGAAGCCCGGAATACGGATGTTCTGAGGTAACGTCTCCTGAGCCTCAAATTTCATGTTGAGGCTTTTCCCAAAATTCGGTTCAACGCTCATTGTTTGTAAAATAAAGATGCACATTCTCACAACGCCTTGCTTGGATGCGTCAGTTTTGTACTCGACAGCGTAAAAGATACAGAGAATGGCAAAGTCATGGGAGCGACTTGAGTCAATGATAAATGACCTGAATCGCTTGTTGCACTGAAGGGCCTCCCAAAACAAGATGAGCATTTCCGGAGCCCACTTGATAGATTTCTGGCTGCCTGGAAGGTAAGAGTTCGTAACTTGCATCTGCCACTTCATCAGAACTAAGCACAGCCAACTGAAGAATGCAGACCCACAGGTTGGTTCAAGATTCTGGTCATGCCATCGACAAGGAATTGAAAGTCTTGCGGTCGGTGCAGCCGACCAAAGTAATGGCGATAATAGTTCTTGGGCGGTGTCCCACGACCGTCCTCTGGGATAGGATATAGTAGGAGAACAAGAAGAAATTGTAGACAGTATATAACCAAGATCTGCTTGGAATCTTTCCAGACCACATGGTCATATGGAACCCTCCATGACGCAGGATTGTACTTGATAGACTGAGTGAGACTGTGGTTAATATGAGGCAATAGTCGGAACCATACACCACTGTACATACAGTATTTAGCAATGAGCATAGCAATGTGAGGACAACTTGTTTGTCAGGGCAGGTTGCAATGTAGGTAATGGCCTTAACACCCTGAACAGGTAGGAGACCTGCGCGTCGTCAGCGTTGCGTCCCATATCGAGGACAAAGAATCTTACTCAGCGGCATGTACATCGCCTCTCCAGTTAATGTAAGCAATAGTCGCAAAATCTCGCACCGGTTGCTTTCGAGCTCTTTGCTAGAGCCCATGGAAGTATTGCAGCCGACACCACTTTGCCATATCGAGTATGATACCTTACCCTTAACCGTTGGGAGCTTTGGGATCGTAAAGTCCGTATAGAATAAAAGATCTAGCAGGTTGTCGATCAATTCCTCGGCCAAGGGCTTCACATCTTCATAGTCATTAGTCTCAGACAACCTCTCCTCCTGGCGTCCTTCAGCCTGCGATTCGTCAAATAGGACTTCTGCTCCCGGTCGAGCTCCTCTAGTATTCTTCTTGCGCCGACCCCAAAAGAATTTCTCCTCCCATTCTTCTAGGTGCTCAGCCTCGTAGATGAAGGGAAGGATGCGCGTGAGAATACGGATACAATTGAGAACATCTCTCTCGGGAGCGAGGTCGGGATCTGGAAAAGACGGATGATTCTTCAGAAAGGTAAGACGAGAGGTTATTGAAAGCAATAGTGTCTCCAAATTAGGTAATGCATGGTCGCGCGTCCGTCGTATATCTGCGGGGGTGAATAAGCTGAATACATCTTCTGTCGACTCTGGGAGCTCCCAGAACTACACCGAAGCAGTTAGTGAGTAGATGGAGAGGAGAGATCAGATGAGATCGTATGACAAGAGAGACAAACTCTGGACCAGTAAGGATCATCAGCAGGAATGTCCTTCTCCTCTGACAGACGGAAGATTCCCTGCTTGAAGACCAACTTCGACTCCGAGGCTCCCATAGCGAAGCGACACCGGCGCGGGTTGATGGTATTATAACTTCATAGGGTGTTCAGGGAAAAGAAGAAGAATCAATATACAGAATCCAAGCGCTTTCACGGAGGTCCTTTTGATATATATCGCTAAATGAAAGTGCCAAGTGGGCAAGCTGATTGTATGTTGGTGTTGTGGTTCGCTGGGCCCGTCACAGCGGGAAGTTACCTCTTGGACCAACGGTGACGGAGCTCGGCCACGATGCGAGCGAGTTTGAACAAAGAGCCACAATTAAGAGTTTAAATCAATCCGGCGACCATGCTACCTGAGTTTATCATATGTTTTGTTGAAGGATTAGAGCAATTTCAAGTACTGTTAATCTCTATGCAATTTGTGAAATTAACGCTCAATCTAATAAGCTCAATGTACACGATCCCTTCCATTCGTAATTGCGCCGACGCCGATCAGCCCGAATTATAGACTCCCGTTACTAGCGGAGAGCCGCCTACTTCTTTCATACAACCATTTGTTGCTCAATCCCAGGTTCGCGCGCTTGCCCCCTACAGGCGAAGGACTCGCGGGCCCGATGCTAGACTCCCCGAAAAGCGAGCTGCGGCTGAATGTCGAAGAAGACCCAAAGCTTGGCCGTCGCCCGCTCTCCTTGCCGCCATTCGAAACGGCTTTGTACAGTAGCGGACTTGTCGATGGTGAAAATGATGCGCCCGACGAAAGTCTACGCCCTGAAAGACCGGCACTACCGGATAGGGGCGACGATGCACCTTTGCTCGCTGGAGTCGCTGTTCTCGAGGCAGACAGTCGATACCTCGGCGGTGTAATGTACGTAGTCCCCGGTGTAAGCGGTGGAGTCGCGGACGGATCGAGTCCGAGGAGGGAACGCTGTGTAGGAGTGAGAGGGATATCGGAGAGGTCATCTTTCGGACGGAACAAAGGGTATAATGCAACCAGGATGTTCAACGCAAGAATGAGCTGTACGACGTGCAGCGCGAGGTCTGGATAAGCGGGGTACTGGCCCAAGTTCTGTAGACGAAGCGAACTGCGGCATCCTGGTCAGAAAGATCGAACTGCAATTATCCCCGAACCAACATGGTTATCGCTCACTATGATTTGACCGTGTTTCCGAATACCCAGGTCGCAATCAAGGCGGCCCCATTCCAAACAAGCTTTCGAATATTGCGATCTCCGAATGTTCCAGCATTCTGTCGCCTTACAACTTCATTGAGACGAGGGTGGCGCCATTTCCCAGGCGTCCGTGAGGCATCGGGGACAGGGGCGAGCACTGATACGGCTCTAGGTGTAGATGGAGCGGATTGGGACGCCATTGATATTTGCCAGAAAGCAAATAGAAATGCCGCTAGCTGAAGTCAGAAAACACGGATTATGATCGCCAGGAGTACTACAAGGGACTCACCTTGAAGAAAAAAGAGATCAGTGTGTGCGTTAAAACTTACCTTTGAATCAACCTAACGAGGTGGACTTGAATCATGTGTACATTTGCGTGTGGTCGTGCAGGCGTCTCAATGGTCGACCTGAACCATCACTGCCGGTATGGCAATAGCTGTTTGCAGGTTAGATGTGCTGGGCGTGAAAATGTGTGAGTATTGTTTTGACGCGACGCTCAAGAAGAATAGCAAGAATGACCGCTTAGTGGTCATAGGCAACAGACGCCAGTGCCGCGAAGTTTTCAGCTAACCTCCGTAGCTGGACGCGGCTCTCGGTCCGTTCCCCACATCTTGAACAACTCCATAAGCATAAGCTGAGTCCCCCCTCACGTCATTCCGTTCATCCATCTCCGAATGGGACTACGACGTCTCGAAACCAATCTCTAAGTCACTTTGTAGCTCTTGGTTTGATAGACCAGTCTCTGAATTTAAGGACTTCACACAATGGCCTCAGAATCGTCAGCCTTGGCGAGACTGGATGCCTTGGCCTCTAATATTCTGGCTGACTGGAATATTTACACGACTTTGATCGCAGGCGCTCTTATTGCTTTCACCGTATACTCTTTTGTTACGTCGAAAGATCCCGACATCCATCCTTTCTTACTTGCTCGTCAGTCAACAGCTTTCCCCGTACGTCAACCCGGAGAATCGGCGGCGTATAGAAGCCTAGAGACTCCGCACGGATACCCACTCAGATCGGGGCTCAACATCAAGGACCCAGGTGCACCAAGATGGACGAGTGGAAGAAGAGGTGACCTCCGTGATATCTGGAAGGCTGCTGTGCGTGGTGAGGTGTCAGAGAATGGTGTAGTCTCTGGTAAACAAGGAAAGATCTATACGGTGCTTGGAAAGAAAGCCGTCGAGCATTCTTTGGACCAAGTCACACAGGAAATCAATGTCATCGGCCATCGTCTGCAGGAATCTGGCGTCAAATCGGTTGCTGTGTGTTTGACAGATTCGGTTGAGCTTCTGGCTGCCATTTTCGGTTCGGGCCCTTCGCTTCTCATTCCGACTACGTATCGAGCTGACCTGATGATACCTAGCTGGTGCCTTCTACGACTTCAAGACTATTATTATCCCTCACAACCTCGAACCTCAAGTCCTCTCCGCCCACCTAGAAAAGTCGCAGGCAGATGCTTTAATTGCCGAGGCCGGTGCCCTGGACTTGTCCCTGGTGGCTAAGAACAACAAGCAACTCTCTCAGGTCATTTGGGTCGCTAAGATTGGAAGCCAGCACATGGACTGGAACCAAGTGCCTGGAGATGTTCAGGGAAGCTTGGAGGTAGCCGTATGGCATGAGTTGGTTGAGGAAAAGAAGGACCTGACCGGCTTAGACGTTCCCAGCTGGGACCCCAACTCTCCTGCGCCCTCTGTGACCACTGTATGGCCGACCAAGTCTCAAGTGGGCGATTTCATTGAATTCCGGCCAGAGGTTAGTTTTTTCGTCTGAGCGTTTTCCCTTGCAATCACCGCTAACTCCAACCAGAATCTTGCGGCCGGAATCGCGGGATTGACCTTCTCCTTGCCTCGGAATCAGCGATTCAACCCCGACGATCTGGTTCTTTCGATCGATTCTCTCTCGCGTTCATACCCACTGTGCCAAATCATGAGTGCACTTTTCTCGAATTCTTCTATCGCTCTCAACTCTGTTGCTGGCGAGGGCGTTGATTTTGCTTTGGCTACTGTTGGAGTATCGCCTACCGTCATTGTTGCTTCTTCCCGCACCATGTCCGAGTACCATGCCAGGCACATGGAACCCCAAGCCGGCGTCCTGACGTCGATCGTCCGCTGGTCTCAGCTGCGCAAACTAGATGCCGGAATCATGCCTTCTCGTGGCCTACTAAATCAGGTTGCTAGTATCGGACCAACCGCTGAACTTTCCCTCGAGAGGGTCCGCCTGTTATGCGTCTCCCATCGGGCTGATGCCGACCCGGCTGCGCGCCTGACATCAGCGCAATTGGCAGACCTAAAAATCTTCCTAGGTGCTCGCGTTGTGTACGCTCTGACTGCCGCGGGCGTGGCAGGTGCTGTCTCCCAGACCAACGTCTTTGATTACCGACGCTTCACGGGACCGAGCCATTTTGGCGCCCCATTGAGCTCTGTTGAGCTTCTTTTGACTGGCGTGTCCGATGAAAGCCCACTCGAAGGACAGGTGGGTGCCATACTTTCATCTTTTTTCTTTCCTTTTCATTATTTTATTCCATTCACTGACTGCTCCCGAATAGATTACTGGTTCCGGCCCCGCTGTTGTCTCTGGTAAAACCAATCTTTCGTCGCGGGGCCGCATACGAGAGGACAACACCTTGGAGCTTTCTCTTTGAAACTATACATATCTCGGGTTATGACATTGGCAGTGCATGTATTTCGAGCGCGCCCTTTTTCTTTTTCATTTTTTTTTACCATAGGCTACTGAGCCACTCGCGGTTTTCAAGTTGGATCGCTAGTCCTTTGATTCCTTGCGGTGAGCGCCGCCATTCCACAAGATAGGATGAATGGCAAATACAATACTGGAACAGATTCTTTAAGGTGGTAATATACATAATCATGGAGAAGTCAATGGTGATGCAACAGGGTCAAAGCTAATGCAGGAGCTGGCTTTGTTGATAGCCCAGTGTCGGCTTTTGCTGGACATTCTCGGGGGCCATTTCCTTATGGTTGGCAATCAATAGACGTAAGTGGTTCAGACGTCTCTTCAGAGGACCGGACACAGCTTTGTCATTTGCGACGCCCTCAACCTGAAGGGCGAGCGTAATTCCGTTGTAGATAGGCACGTTCTCCTGGAGCATGCGATCGACTGTAAACCAGTCCGTGACATCGCGGAAAAAGTTGCCTGCCTCCCAGTTCACCATGAGGCGCTGAGCATAGGCATACACATCGCCGGACTCATCCTTGCCTCCCAGTTCGTTCACAGCACGAGCGGCGCTAAGCTCAAGGAGAGTACCGATGACAAATGGTTGTCGTTTGGGATCTTCTTTTATATTCTGGACATTCCTCCGGGAATGCTCCGGAGCTTCCATCAGCGCGGCAAACTGCTTAGCCATGCCAAGCGCCTTGGAGACTGCGGGATCCTTGAACTGCCCCTTCTGAGCTTTCTTGTGGAGCTCGAAGAAGATACGCTGGACGATTCCGTTGTTGTCCAATCGAAGACCGGTCCGTTCCACCTGCTTCGCACATTCGAGGATGGCACCGAGTGCGTCGGCCTCACCAGCTTTGCGCACAGTCCACTCCCAGTTCGCGAGGCTCAATGGTCTCTTCGACGTCTGTAGCCCGCCAAGGAAAGGTGCAAGGTTCTGCCAGTCTTTCCTGGTCTTCATGAGCAAGACAACGTCCTTGAATTCTTTCTTTGGAGGTCTGGACAGCGGGTCCATGGGCCGAAGTTGGTAAGGCTCATCGTTGTCGCCGATATTTACCGTCACTGGTTGCTGCTCAAGTTTCTCCGCATATTTCCGTCGAAACATTAACCTCCTTTGCTCGGTATTCAAGCCAAAAGGTATGAAAAGCTCTTCTCGGAAACGTTTGAGGGCCTGGTCTAGTTCGGGGGAAGATGTCGGAGGGAAGGTGGGAATTGCTAATTGCAAATCATGTCAGTGCTGTTGCCGTGGGAGGTTGTCTGCTCTTGGATTCAGACCAATGCTCACCATTATGCGAATATGTACGATATTGTGTAATAGATCCAAAGGATTGACGCAGGTAGCTGCTGTTCTGGCAGCGGAAGAGCCTGCCAACGGCGCTTTGCGCCATTTTATATCTGCTCTGAAGCAAAATTGAGAATAGTGCGCTTTTAAGAAAATGGCAAACCGAGGTGCTGGACGACCGAATAGGATCCAGAATCAATCGGAGGGCTGTGATAAGTTTATTTTCTGGACAAAAATTCCCCGGGATATCGAAGTCTTGGGGAGACCCAAACAGGCAGTTTGAGGCTTGGCGGAAATTCTGCCGGACCGGATCAACCTCCGCCTGCGAGAATTGCGGTCTTACCAAGATTCTATCACAATCACGGAGCTGACCATCACGCTCAACTTTTGCACTGATGGCGACCTTTTCGCCCATATTGAGGCAGCTGGGCTGCTCGAGAACTTTTATGAAGGCAGACGGATTGCTGCGACACCAGTTCAGCCGTTCCATCAGCACCGCATATTCCCCGAAGCCAGAGCCTGCACCTCTCCCTTCCAAACTCCCAAAGGCGTTTCTTTCACAAATACCTACTCGGTTGCAACCCAATGCTGGTAATTGAGCCAATTCTCCAGCTGTTCACCGTTTTTGCTATGTCTAATATCCAAGGCAGGACGCAAGAAGCTCAAGATCTACCCACCACCCCCGACACCTCGTGCAAATTGCAAAGACCCCGTCGCAGCATTGACAGAGTCTCAACTAGCCGCTCTTGACCCCACAGGTGAACGTAGGGCTCTGTTTGACTACCGCCGAAACCCCCGAAGCGTGAAAGTGGGCGACATTCTGCGTGTGACATTCAAGAACGGAGACCCATTTTCGGGTGTGTGTCTTAGCATCCGTTTGCGGGGCATTGATACTTCTTTCCTTCTCCGAAATGAGCTCACGAGGGTTGGCGTGGAGATGGCCGTGAAGGTTTTCAGTCCAAATGTCGAGAGTGTGGAAATTGTACAGAGGACGGAGAAGAGGAAGCGAAGAGCAAGACTGTACTACATGAGGTATGTACCAGCATCCGGTGACGGCACCACCAGGAAGAATGTTCCTCCTGTGCAGTGAAGCTAATAATTTCCTCTCTCGAATTCACAGGAAGCCCAGGCACGATATGGGAAGCGTCGAGAACATTGTATCGAACTACCTGCGGCAGAAGTCGGTTCTTACCGGTCAGCGTTCAGCCGGTGCACGGAGACAGAGACGGTGAATTGCAGCAATTCCTATTCTGTCTGTATTATGACTTTGGCGAAATGTATTATACTACTATACTTGCACATGCATATTCGGCAATCGACATTTGTTTGGCGCACACATTGAGACCGGAATAGAGGCCATTTCCCGTCAGCATCTACTGCTTTGGTAATGGAAACTGTTGTCTGGGGAGTACATCGACCTCCGGATAATCCCACATAGTCCTACATAAACGAGGTATCATGATCGGTGATCGGTACTCTATTCCCCCGTTCCACGCGAGCTTGAACCTCAGCAATGTCTCTGGAAATGGAGTCGCCGATCCACAGCCCTACCTGATTCATGAAACACGGTGCTACCTGGATAAGTGGACAGACAGAACAATCTTGCAATTGTAGTAACTGTAGCAATGTAGACAAAAGATCCATAATGACTAGTGCTATGTCGCATGACGACACCAGACAGTAGCAAGAATTGAGTCCTACGAAAATTCTGGAACCTGTGGCTTCACTTATACGGTGGCTGAATGTTGTATCGGGGAATTTCCCCTCAGACGGATTCTGGGCGCCAACCCAATCTGTCTTGGTTGGCGCGATCTGATATGGCACATTGCCGCCCAGTCCAATGACAGCCGTCCAACGGATCGATCGCAGGTGCCTAGCCAGTGGGCAGTGCTGTGCACATAGATTGCCGTGCCAGGAAACCCAAGAAACACCGGTCTCAGCGTCTTGCACCGAGGTCGCTTAGACATCATCAGCCTGGTCGTCTTGCGCTAATCGCAAGACGTTTCAATAATAATCGCAATGACTTCGAGGCCCCTCAATTTCGAACTCAACGCTTACTCTTGCTTCTCATGAGATCGAGGATGAGCTCCGGAGACGTATCGAACCACAAGCGACCATGTTGAATCTCTTCCTTAGGCAGACTTGGACGCTGACAGTCAAGAATCTGCTCGTCGTCTTTGTGCGCCCATCAGTCACAACAACCCTCAGGGCTCTGGTATTGCCCGTGATTTTCGTCGCTTTCATGTAGATCACCTGTGTTGCCCGTTGTTTAGATGAAAGGCTGTCACTAACTGGAGTAGATCCTACGCAAAGAACCTTTTCATCCCTCCATCAGAGTATGGCGTCGGCGGTCCCACTCCCCTCCGTTCGCTAGGAGCTGCGCTAGGTGCCGTCTCGGGGAATAGAGACAAGTTGGTATTCGTCCACAATGGCCTGACTGGCGGCGATGTTGAGCAAGTCATCAACCGAGTTGCGGATCCTGCAAGGGCCAGCGCAAAACAAGTACATATTCTTTCGTCAGAGGATGAGCTGCGAGAGTTGTGTCGAACATCGCTTCGTGGAGTGTCATCATGCATAGCTGCGGCTATCTTTTACTCTTCTCCCACTGAGGGGCCAAACGAATACTGGAATTACTCGATTCGTACGGATGGTTCGCTAGGTGCTGGGATCAAAGTCAACCGAAACGACAATGATCAGGAGATCTACCTCCTTCCATTTCAGCATTCGATTGACTGGGCGATAGCGCAGGTCAACTCGACCAACAACGGTAACGCGCTACCGAGTCACGTACGCTTAATGAACGTAGTGCTTCTGACCTGCTCGACTAATCCTGGTATAGGTTGAGGAATACCCGTTCACGTCCCTCACCCAAGAGGAACGACAGGAACAGATCCGAACCCGCTACATGGGCGCCATCATTGACATCATCGCCGTGGCTATCTTCATTGAAATTGTGGGTGTCACGTACCAGCTTACTGGGCTTATAGCGATGGAAAGAGAGCTCGGGATGAGCCAGCTGATTGATTGCATGTTGCCCAACACCTCTCACTGGCAATCACAAGCTGCTCGGTTCATTGCGGCACACTTGGCTTTGGATATCGTGTACTGCCCAGCATGGATTATCTCCGGTGCAATCCTGAAATTTGGGGTGTACGGCAAGACCTCAGCTGGAATCGTCATAATCTACAATATCCTGGCCGGTCTCGCGTTGTCCTCCTTTTCCATATTCGGCGCCTCGTTTTTCAGGAAGGCTCAGCTCAGCGGTATCACTGTCGTTATCGTTTGTTTGATTTTGGGAGTAATCGCGCAACTGGCACCTGCTTCGACAAACGTTGCTGTTATCATTCTCAGTCTTCTATTTCCACCGATGAACTTTGTTTACTTCTTTGTTCTCATGGCTCGATGGGAGAGACAGGGTCTCGCTACGGACCTCGTGCGCGCAGCTCCGGAGAATCCGTGGACAGTTCCTGGTATAGCCCTCTGGATTTTGCTGATTGTTCAAATCATCGTCTATCCTCTACTGGCCGCCGTAGTCGAGCGAGTTCTTTATGGCACCAAGTCCAAGAGTCGAAGGACAGTGAACTCTGGCGACTCGATCGCTGTGCGTTTGAATGGATTTACCAAGGAATATCAGCCGAGTTGGTTTTACCGAAAGGTTGCTCCATGGTTTGGAAGCAGCCGACAGAGTGTACGGGCCGTGAACGACCTTTCCATGGATGTCAGAAAAGGTGAAATTGTGGTCCTCCTCGGCGCAAACGGGTCGGGCAAATCTACCACACTGGATGCCATCTCGGGTCTGACGACAATCACCTCCGGGAGTATCGACGTAGACTACGGCGACTCCGGCGACCCCGGCGGACGGTTTGGTCTCTGCCCACAGAAGAATGTTCTCTGGGATACACTTACAGTAAAAGAGCATATAAAGATATTTAACAGGCTGAAGAGCACCGGAGAACTGGACAGTAATGAGCAGCTTCTCAAATTGCTAAACGACTGTGACCTGGCTCAGAAAGTCAACTCGCACTCGAAGACGCTCTCAGGGGGCCAGAAACGAAAAGTTCAATTGGCCATCATGCTTACCGGCGGCTCATCGATTTGCGCTGTTGATGAAGTTTCATCTGGAATTGATCCAATTGCACGCGCCAAAATATGGGATATCCTTCTTGCAGAGAGAGGATCGCGGACAATCCTTTTGACTACTCATTTTCTAGATGAGGCAGACCTTCTCGCCGATCACATCACAATCTTATCCAAGGGCTCGCTCAAAGCACAGGGTTCGAGCGTTGAGCTAAAGGATAGATTGGGTTCAGGTTACCGAATTCATGTCCTCAACGTTCCTGGCTCAGAGAAGGTAGCCGGTCGACAGTTCGACAGTATCGAAAAAGAGGTCCATTTTGATGATACCGTCTACTCCGCGAAGGATTCTACGGAAGCTTCTCGTCTGATGTCAGTGTTGGAAGAAAAGGGTGTCACAGAATATCGTGTCAGCGGGCCGACGATAGAGGATGTCTTTCTTAAAGTTGCAGAAGAATTGGACTCGGACAGACTACGAGAAGAGCCTCACATCGCACCGAAGGGAACGACTTACGCTGAAAAGAATCCTGGAAGCGGTGACAGTGAGGGGCTTCAGCTATTGACCGGAAAACGCATTGGCATGCTCCTTCAGTCGTGGTATTTGTTTCGCAAGAGGGTCACAATATTGCGCCGCAACCCTATCCCATACTTGGCGGCTTTGCTCATCCCAGTCGTTGCGGCCGGACTTGTTACTCTTTTCCTGAAGGGTGCTACAAAGGCAGGTTGTTCCGGTGATAGCACTTATCATGCATCTGGCTTCGAGTCACTGGCGTCTCTGGACAACTTCAAATTTGTGGCTGGTCCTCGCGACAAGCTGTCTATCTCCGCTCTTGAGAGCTTCATTGGCTCCCTATCTGGTTCGATAGGGTCGACTCGGAATGCGTCTCTGAATCTCGACTCTCGATTTCACCTGGTAAACAGTCTCCCGGAGTTTGAAGATTATATTTCTCACAACTATGCCAACATCACACCTGGCGGTTTCTACCTGGGAGACGCAAATTCTGCTCCTACATTCGCGTGGAAGGGAGACAACGGTCACTTCCCGCTATCCGCTGTCACTCAGAATGCTATGGATAACTTCTTGACCAACGTGCCCATCTCTTTCCACTTCCAGTTTTTTGACATTCCATGGCAGTCAGATTTTGGGAAGGCACTCCAGCTGATCGTCTATTTTGGTCTTGCTATGTCGGTATACCCTGCTTTGTTTGCTCTCTATCCCACCGTTGAGCGTTTGAAGAATGTCCGAGCGCTGCATTTCAGTAACGGGGTGAGAGGCGCCTCGCTCTGGCTAGCATACCTGACGTTCGACTTCTGTATCGTCGTCGCATCTAGCGTCCTTGCAATAGTCATATTCAGGGCCGCGTCGGATGTTTGGTACCATGCCGAATATCTCTTCGTCGTTTTCTTCCTTTACGGGTTGTGCACAACCATACTATCTTATGTGGTTTCCCTCTTCTCGAAGTCTCAGCTTGCAGCTTTCGCAATTGCAGCTGGCGGACAGTGCGTCTTGTTCTTGATTTACTTCATTGCCTACATGTCGGTATTGACATACGCACCTACCCAGAAAGTCGATGGGTACCTTGAGATAACGCATTTTACCATCGGGCTCATTGCGCCATCCGGAAATCTTCTTCGAGCAATGTTCACTTCCCTGAATACGTTCTCCATCCTATGTCGAGGACGAGAAATCGCCTCTTACCCGGGTGAGATCACTCTCTACGGAGGCCCAATCCTCTATCTGATCTGCCAATCCTTTGTCCTGTTTGGATTGCTTCTTTGGATTGACGGAGGTCCTGTGCTTTCCATGATGAGGAGGAAAGTCAAGCAGAACCACGTGGAAGAGAAGAATACAGTCGATGGAGATGTTGCCGCTGAATTAGCACGAGTGGAAAACTCAACCGACGGATTACGCGTTCTGCACCTGGCGAAGAAGTTCAAGAAGTCTGTCGCAGTTGATGACGTGACATTTGGAGTGCCGAGATCTCAAGTTTTTGCTCTCTTAGGGCCAAATGGAGC